AATGTCGAGCCCTTTAAAGGCTTAAACGTAGAATCCTTATTAGGGATTTCCACATTACTGCCAGATTAGGCCCTAGTAAGGTAGGTTTTGATAAATAATAAGTTAAAAATATCATTTATTTATTTTCATCAAGTCTTATCAGAATCCTTATTGGTTTCCTTATTCAGACCGTACATTAAATTAGCTACTCAAAATTGATATTGCCCTACTGGGACCTAATCTGGTAATAATGTGAAAATCCCTAATAGCACAAAGACATATCTATCTGTTAACCTTTAAGGGCCCTCGATAGAAAAGCGTGACCTTAAAGAGTTCTTATTAGGCTTCCCTATTAGGACCCTAACAAAGTTAGAAAAAATTAACAGGGATCTTATCAAAGCCTTAACACAATTTCCGCATGGGAAAACGAGATCAATAGACGAAGGTTGCAAAAATATTCCACACGATTATTCCTTGATTAATCTGATTTCCTTTCCGCAACGAAAAATCGCGTAAAATCCGCTGAATTAATATCTCTCCATTCCATTCAAAAACGATATGTGCAAATCTTTTTTTTTTTGGTTTCCAGAAGAACCGCGTTGCTTACGTGTATAAATATTATATATGCCCGAGCGTCTGTTTTTATTATATCGACCGCATTCGCGATTTGCATCCATGTCCGTTGCAACAGCATCCAGTGTCGAGTTGACCCGTGAGATTCCATCGGTAGCGATCCTCTCGGGTGTTCCGTTATAAGCGACCTCGGGCTCCCGTCGTACAAAGAAGATGATTTTCGATTCTCGCACATGCGAAATTTCATTATCTTCCCAGGGGAATCGTAGTCCGGAGCGTAAGCCTGTTGTCGGCTTTTACACACGTGTCACACGCGCGATTGTTCTTTCGGTCCCGCGTGTCTCTAACATCTTTATCGGGCGACAATATCCTGACATCGAGATCACGTTACTGGTTCTTTATTAGCATATCAAAGCCGCTTGTCGCGGTAATAGGCACGCCTTTCAGGGTAGTCATACGCGTTAATCCTTTAAGTCGGTAGAACGAGTCAACTCGCTGTGTTGAAGGGCTTGATGTAGAATCGATCGAGGGAATACTGTAAATTCTCTGACGCGCAAATATGTCCCGATGTCGTAAGAGCGTCTTATTATTTCGTAATAATTTCACGACAACCATCATCGCTTTCAATATAATCTTGTTATTCAATTCATGCCATAAGAAAAAAAAAATACGCCGACGATGCATCTACCTCGGCATCTCGGAATTGCGCAAACAGCTGACACATGTTCGAGATCGCGTTTTATTATGAATCCGCGAAATGTTACGTATCCAAATTGATCATATTTTCTGCAGCTGTTGGCCGATGAAAACAAAAAAAATGTCTTATTTTATTGCACAGCCAGGCGCGAGCCTGGCGAAAGCAAACTACCGAAGAGAGCGAATAGTAGTTCGCGGCACGAGACCGCCGGTTCATTCACCAAAAATTGGCGCTACTCCAATCAGCTGACAGGCCTCTCTCGTTTCCTCGTACAAAGCGAGGACGCGCGTGCCCGCAAAGTCGTCTATTTTCAAACTCGGTTCCTCTCTTCGCGTTACGAAATCGTTCCGCGACCATCTGCTTTCGAGCACCGTTTCTCAAAGGGACAACGTTTCAGAATAATCGTTGAAATAATTTTTGCTAATAGAATTGTTTGACTCTCGATTATAGTAAAGAGAGAACATAGTGATACATTTGAACATTATATATATATATAGCCGCATCTAAACAATTTAAGTATAGTCTCCGGTATAATAAAAAGAGAGAAAGAGAAACTTTTTAGCATCTTTAATGTTTCTAGGGAATTGTCAGTCTGAAGAAAAACAAAAGTGCTAAAAAGTTTTATACCACGACGCCCGACTTGGAAATTATTCAATATTCTTGATGAGTGGTGCCATATAAAAACATCTCATGAAATATACAAATTTTTCTCTCGATAAATATACACGCGGACCTGAGAGTTTCAAAGAGTTTATATCCGCGCATCAAACTATGCTTACCTTTAGTATATACGATATATCGTATAGTTTTCTTCCAACAACATTAGACGCTACGTTAAGTATTTAATATATGAAAAAGTGTACAATGTTAGTGATCGACGTGGTACAACAGATGCACCGCGATGCATTTTACGCGGAAAAATGTCAGACAAGTAGGTAAAAGCAAAGTTATGCATGATCGCAGACTATAGACTCTCTTCTCTTGCCATCGCAAGAGAGAGAGAGAGAGAGAGAGAGCAAGAGGCATTAATAAATCTCCGTTTAAAAAAGCACGATTGGTAGATTCGCCACGTCGCTCGCACAAAGGTTAATCGATACTCGCGCTTTATAAATGTGGAAAAAAAAGTTTCGAACGGAAAGAATCGCCGTTTAAACCCCTTCGAGACTTTTCTGTCGCGTTACCACGGAAGGGCAGAGCGGAAGACGAGAATAGCAGAAGAGTTCATCGCATAAAGTCCGATCCCCCGACACTTTTTGACGTGTCGGCGTGCGCTTCTCGACTAGCGACCGCAAATCGAAATTATCGTAATTTATCGACCAGTTGCCAGACGTTAGCGACAAGGCCAAAATTATCCGAAATAAAGTATCGCGTCCCTTTTTCGCGGAGTTACCGTGCACGGGGTCGTTGACCTCTTCGCTGTACCGAATCGGCTCAAATGCGGGATCGATTCTCATTCGTGAGAGACAGAAGACGCGAGTTCAGCCCGGCAACGCCGATATAAATCCTGTCCATTAAGAGAGCGGCGACAGATACGTAAATACGAGTTTTCTCCCGGGAGAGCGGGAGGGAGAGGGATGGCTTCTACAAGGGTGGGCGAGATTTAAGAGGGAGGACAGAGCGAAGAGAGAGCATGCCGAAGAGATATGTCGAGCATGCGCATCGTCGCCCGGCAACCGGCAAATCAAATATTAACACCGGCTTTATACCGTTGCCACCGACACGTTGCCAACCGATGGCACGGTTGATGCTCACAACGGAATGGATTAACTTGCGCGTCACGAAAGCCCGGTGTTGCGTCTCGAAATAACATATATATATATATATATATATATTTCGCGAACAAATATAATTTTAATCGCCTCGCCCCGATAAGAAATTCAAGGAAATTAGCTCTCTCCGCTTTCGTCATTCCATTTCATATCGTCGTGAATAATCCCTCATTAAAATGTTCGAGATAAATAATTATTACACTTGAAGAACAAAAAGTTCACCGGAACGAGACTAGTCGTTTCTTATAGTTTCTTGGTTGCTGAATACAAAAAGCTGTTTTCCAAATTATTCCATCACGTCACAATTTTGAACAGTTTTTAATTAAAGTTGCAAAATAGCGATTTCTTCGCGAACCTTGTTATATTATAGCTATATAATATGTGACGTGCTAGAAAAGTTTTATTGCAATAAAAATATTTCAGTTATGATTTAATAAGATAGCCACATGGTTAAATATAAGCTGTATTGCGAAAGTTAACTGTGATTCATAATTAGGTCATTGACGATTTACTAAACAGCCTTTAAGGATTTTTTAGGCCATTGAATTCCATGCCATGAGTTATTGTAAAAATGCTTTTTTATATAAATCCATCACATTGAGTTCACCGTTTTGAATTTAATAATTTTGACCTAAGAACATCTAACTTCCACAACATTCCATCATGGATATCTTATTGACCGTAACAGACAAGTTCATGAAAATAGTCCTTTTTAAAAAAAGTTTTAAAAAACGAAAAGTCATTTTTGTCGAATTGTCATTTAATTATTAAAGACCTAAAATAATATGTAATAGAACACAGGAGAAATCTTACCTCTTTGATATGCATCCTTGATCGTGCAAAATCAATCGATTTCTTTGAAAATTCTAGAGAAATGATTAAAATGCTGCAAGAAACTCAAAGTAACTAATCGCAATTTTTTGAAAAACGGGTATTCCTTCTTATTTATGGGAGAAGCGATCGTGACGTCGATCTTCGTCGGCGTCAACCTGCTACGGCGAGTCTTTTAAAAGTTTCGTGCCGACGAAAATCCGGCGGAAGACAATCGTCGCGCATGCTTTCCGGAATAAGACGGAGCGCGCCGACGAAAACAGGTTGACAGGCTGTTGGGGAAACTTTTGAACTAATGGCGGTACTCTTTCTCTCTCTCTCCCGGTGTTCATCTCTCCGGCTTAAGTTAAAGCTTAGTTAAAGCTGATCGCGCATCAAGCCGTACTTCCTTTCTCTATTCCGCTCCGTTTTCGCATCAATAATATTAAACGCTAACACACTCGCTCGTTAAAATGCCCGTTCAATCAGCCGCGGCCGCAAGATGGCTTTTTGTTAGCCGACGATTCGTTTGTCGACGATATAACTCATAACTTCAACATTTAAATACTTTCTCTCGGTCGTTGAGAGTGATTTTGCGCTATCAAATGTACGACGTGTGGATCGCGAACGTGATTTACATTCGTATTCCGCGAGTACTCCATAAATATACTCGTAGATGCGACACACATAGTCGTTAATGGGCTATGAAAAACATCGGAACACTCGCGGAAGAGCATCGCCGAATTCTCTCGCCGCGAAATTTGCCTTTTTATTCGCCGATTATTTACGACATTTCTTCGTTGAGGGTGGCGAGTTTTATGCGAAATTAAAAACGAGTATATGCAAATTCGAACGGCAATCGATTGCGGCGTTATATCGTCTGGAACGTCTCGTTTTACGCGCGTCGAAGTCGTAAATTTTTCAAGACAACCGGTTTTTTGGGGACGCACGTCTCTATTCTGACATTTCTTTCACCTCGGATCAAACAAAACGCGTGACTCATCGCGACACACTAATTTCGTTTTTTATTTTATTCGTATTTCTTTAAGTCAAATATCGCACGCGCATGTTTGATCATTTTTATATACGTGTATGTATTCTGATCTCTCATACTTATCGATCAAACTACGATTGCATGATTAAAAATGAAAAATATAATTTTGTGCACTCACCAGTGGTCGTTTCGGCAGCGTCGCGATAGTCTGAAACAGAAAGAGAACGTTCTGGTAAGTATAATTCTTCACTTGCGCGACGACGAAAAATTAAAAAATTGTTGGGCGCGTAGTTGGAAGAAATTAATTTAAAAAAAAAAAATTCTCCCGGGAAATGAGCGCAAAATTCCAACGAGAAAACTAAAGTTCGAACGAAGTGCGGTGCGACCGAGCTAAAATCCGCCATACTTATTATGTGAAAGTACAGTAATTTAACAGCGTACGGAGAATTCCTGGAAACAATTTGCGAGGCAGAACCGGTAGCCGCTCATAAAATACAGCGAGAAAATACCGCGAATTAACGGGGGGAGGGAAATTTAGCAACAAAGCGCAGAAATTATTGGAAAGCGTCGTAACCCCCTTTGCCCCGATCTTTCTCCTTTCGTCCCATACTTTCTCTCGCATACGTATCCGCTCTCTCTCGAATACACTAAGCCACGCATGTACTATGATTGCAAACAGTCGAATAGTTTGTATTTGAATGCTTCGAATAAATTCGTACATATGGAAAATTCCCGATTTAAAAAAAAAATTGGAAAATCAATAATTGTTTTTATTCTTTTTTTTTATAAATATATAACTTCGTGACGTATCACGTCTTATACACAGGGAGAATTTTCTCTTCGAATTAATCCTGAAAATCGTGGGACAATAATATAGTATCGGAAGAATTTTATGAAAGTTAATATTTACCACAATAAAAATATTAATATCTAGCACAATAAGATATAAAATACGTTCGATTGATTTTACTATGTACATTTTAATATTTTTTGTTGTGCTAAATCTTAATCAGAGAAACTCTTATAAAATTTTTCCAATACCCACGATTATCACGATTTTCAGGGTAAATTCTAAGAGAAAATTCTCTCCGTGTATACACTGCAAAAACTTAAGCGCCATTTTTATAATAATAATCAATTAATAAATAAAAAAATTGGTTTTAATCTGTATACAAGTCATGTAACAAATTAAAAAATTACTGGTGTTTCCTTTCATTTTTTGAAATGCAATTATAGTAATGCAATAGTGTAATTTTTCACGTATAGTCTCAGCGGTGATTCATTTACATCTGTTTCACGTACACGTGCGAGTCTTTTAAAAGTAGTTTGAAGAGCGCCATCGTGGAAAATCAACTGAAAGCTGTGTAGCTTAAATTAGCAAACTGAAGTAACGTCGTTATTTCGTAATCTCTCGTATGAAACGAATCTCAAACTATAAAAGCCAGCACGCCGGCTTGAAACGGTTGTTTGCCCGTGGCGTTTTTAATGACAGAGAGAAACGGGAAAAATTCTTTGCACGATCGTAAAAGCGTCAACTTAAAATGTGCAAACAGTAAAAATTGATCCGACTCTCTCTCTCTCTCTGAATGCATTCCCGATGATGGATTTTATGATATTTAAAAAAAATATAACGTCCCTTTACTGCTTTTTAACAAAATGAATATGACTGATTTTAAACAGCTGTTTCTTCATCTTTGAAAAATAATAAGGATCGTTTATTTGTATTCTCTATAGACACATTTCGCGGTATTCTTTTATTTTTCTAAAATTTTAAAATAAAAGTTTATTGTTAGAACATGTGGCACAATTTTTATAAATCATAACAAGCTAAATTAACTATTTGCCCATCATACATAATTGAAAGATAAATAGCAAAAAATAGCAATAAATTAAGAGACAATCTCTTGAAATAAAAAAAAGTATTTAAAAAATTTAACGCGAGACTTTTAATATATTTATAAATGCTAGAGCTATTGTGATTCGAAACAATTGATTAAAATGCGCTGCATTTTTTATAAACACGTATGTATTTAGAATTAACGTTACAATAATTTATCCTATAGTGCGCGTGTACGTACACGTGTCATGCGGAAAATGGAAAATCGTATAAATAAATATAAATGCATCATCGATTCGCGCCGATCCGTGACGTTCCGATGTTCGAGTTTTTATACGACTGTCGCGGCCAGTCAAAATTTTTGTTCAAAGTGAGATATATGTATATATATATTTATATATTTTTTCCTCTTGCATTTATTGATATTTATCTCACTTTAAAAGAAATTTCGGCCGTCCGCGACAGTCGTATAAAAACTCGGACATCGGAACGTCGGCCATGGGCGCGAATCGATGATGCATTTATATTTATTTATGCGATTTTCCATTTTCCACGTGACACGTATGTCCGAAACCGTGACATTTGGTCGCGAGGTCGTCGCATATGCACGTCACCTCGCGGAATACTAAATGCACAGCCAGTGAGTGCCGGATTGTTTATTTATTCAAGCTGCGCGCACAACATATACACACATCTCTCTCTCGACGGTATGTGCATCCGCCCTCCTTCGTACGAACAAAGCCAGACCAGACCACCTATTAAGACAGATGGCACAGAGATTATTTACGAGGGTGTGCACCTGAGCTCGCGCATTTTCAATTTTCGGGCGCGTCGGCGCTCGAGAGCGCAAAACACATCGAAATTACATTACACGACTTGTGTGTACGTAGTACGAAACGCGTATTCGGAATTTTCGAATGATCGAATCTCGCGAACGTAAAAAACTTTGATCGCGCCGCGCACCTTGCTCGGCGATAATAAATCCGGATCCCACGGATAAATCGTATGAAAAATGTTTATTTTGACAACATACACGGTACGTATACCCTATATACGTGTATCGTATATCGAATAATAAAATTGCACAATATATGGGGAACCGTAAAAAAATGGCGGAGCAGTAAAAGTGTGCGACAAAGTGCGCGCGAGAAATAAATAAATATCGCTCTTTGTAAAATACGATATCGGATTATGACCTCGCCTCTCCGCTCAATACGAGATAGAGGAAATACGTCAGAGGATAATAATAATTTTTCCATCTTCCATATCGGGCGCCGTGGATCTTTTCGACCTAGCTGCAGGAATTTATTAGCTTGCCGGAGGCGCGTCGCTAAATCGTGAGTTATCACGACGCTGTTATCTCTATCGACGACGACAACGACGACGACACCGATACCGAGCCGGGAATTGGGACAACGACCTCGTGCTCGCTCGAAACAAAGAGCCCAGCGTGACTATGGCACTGATGTCTCTCTCTCTCTCTCCCTCCCTCTTTTTCTCTCTCTCGGCGCAACCTGTGTACTTTTACGCGTGGCGCAAGGTTCCCCTGGCTACGAACGTGACGTGTATATATGCACTTCTCTCCTCTACCTCGCGTCTCCGTTCTTAAACGGTGAAACACGTCGAAGTCGACGACGTAAGGCACGAGGAGGCGGACGCGGGACGGATGGCACGGCAATTCCGCTAATATAGCCCGCTATCCCAAGTGGTAACATTGTCGCAACTCAACGTCAGAACTTTGCGTTTAGAAGCGTAATGTCAGTTAGTCAGTATCATTTAGGGTAAAACAGTGTAATTACATGTAGAATCCCACCGTATTTTGCGCGACGTTGTAATTTCGTCCATAATTTATGCGGCACCGTAATTTCAGCGCGACACGAAGAGCGAACGGCCGCGGAAATACGCGCCGAATGCACGAAGAATGAATTATTACCGCGGCGCATCGACGGCGCATCCGTTAGGCTCGTTCTACAACACGTCCTATATGTCGCAGTAAGCGGTCGGAACGTAAGCGATGGTCCGATATGAGAAAATTTCTTTTTCGAAAACAAACAATCGCTTACGTTCCGACATCCGTTTTACGATACGTCGTATGTCGCAGTCGGATGTCGGAACGTAAGCGATTGTCCAATGAGGAAATTTTGTTTTCGACAAAGAAATTTTGTATTACACGTGCAGGCAAAGTGGCACTTTGTGTGCGTGTTTTCTGTGCGGAAAGTGGCCGATTTCCCACGCCGCCATCTAGCGGCGACGCGGTGAGCCGCATTCAAAGCCATTGCCTACGGCTGAACCGCGTTCAAAGTCATTGTCCACGGCTGAAGCCGTGGGCAATAACTTTGAACACGGCTATTCCCGCACCGTGCCGCCGCGTGCGATCGACCACCTCGCGCACAGAAAACGCGCACAAAGCCACTTTGCCAGCACTTGTAACACAAAATAGTATGTGTATCACGTGCGGATTGACAATTGTCAACTTTCCGCACTTGATACACAATATACTATTCTCATTGGACCATCGCTTACGTTTCCAACATCCGACTGCGACATACGGCGTATTGTAGAACGGGCCTTACGTCTGCGATGACGTATGGCGTTTCCGTTATCCGGAAAAAAGGAAGAGGAAAGATACCGAAAAAGATACGTCAAATTCCGCGTTTGCTACCTGAGCGAAAAGAGAGAGAGAGAGAGAGAGAGAGAGAGAGACGCGTTAATTCCGCCGTGTTAGCCAAATTTAATAGTCGAGGGATTAAAAAAAAAACGGCGACAACACGAGCGAAATTTCGAAGAAGAACGAAAGAGAACCGTTGCGTCACGCGGACGCATTGGCTTTTGGCACGAAAAAGGATGCGATTAACGGTTCCCCGGTGCATTGTGCGACGCGGATCCTTGCAGGAGTCTGCGAGGAGCAGAAGAAGGGAAGCAGGAGCGGAAGGCATTAAATTTTCAGCGCGGTCGTACCCGCGGCCAGGAAATATGCTTTAAATGGCGATAACTATAAATAAGGGGACGTGCATTAATTCTTTAGAAAGCTATAGCCCGTGCTTCGTGGACGGGAATCTCCTTTTTCGTCGTTTAAGTCTCGTCCCAATTTCCTTTTCCAACCTAGTTCACTCCATTAGAGTAAATAAAGGTAAAACTGCCTATGCAGCGACGCGAAATATAACACATAGTGCACTTTTTCCCCGGAAGCGTATTGTAATAAATCTGTGATAAAGAAAAAAAACACGGTAGAATCAGAAATATGGACGTTGTAATTTATCTGCCGTTTCTCGAAAAAGAGATTATAAAAGATCGCGAAACTCTGAAATAATTTATATTTCCACCACAGAGGGTGATAAGAAAAATATAAATAGGAGGTAAAAATGTATGTA